GGGGCCGGGGCCGGCGCCGGGGAGGGCAGGAGGGGCCGGGGGAGCCGAACGCCCTCTCCTGCCCCGTACCCCTTCGGAGCGCGGTGCGTGCCTCGAGAGCGGCGCTGGAGCTCGGCCACAGGGCACTTCCACGCGGAGAAGCCGATTCTGATTTCTAGGGAACGGGCATAATTGAATTAGATTAACTCATGGTTGTTAAATCAGTTAAATGTTATTAATGTCATGGTCTTATAGATTCGGGGAAGTAATTCTGACTTCTGCAAAGTTGAGACCACTCTTGACAGCTATCATGAGCATAACTGAAGTATTTCAGGTTCCCAGTATTTGACTTCTATGAAATCCACATGCAGATATCACCATCCAGCTGTAAGTAGTGTGCTCTCACAAAAGCAGAGGCGCCCCTTTAAAGCAGTGACATGGATACATACACAAAGGGAAAAGGATCACATGGAAAAAAAGCTGCCGAGGGAATAGCTGGGCAGTACAGATAAGTTCGGTGAACAAATCAGCTTGTTAGAGCTGGCCACTGCACTGAGTAGACCCACTTTTTCTATCATTGAAATAGCTTTTCTTCCGTTGTAAATGTTAAAGGCATATGCTGCCAGAAATTTATCACCACCTGCTAGTCAGGAGCTAGTGCTGCTCCCCACCGAATGGTTCTTAATTTACGTCACTACGGCTCCTCACTCAAAGGCTCTATCCACTTCAAAAAGGAGAAGGAGCGATCTGTCCTCTGCCCGTTCAGAGGCTGAACCGTTCAGAGCTGAGATCGGTTCCAGTCTTCAAACCGCAGCCAGCTCTCTTCCTCTCGAGTTTGCTAGTTTAGAAAGCAAAAAGCAATGTCAAGGCCTGTGGAACGTGAGGGCCTCCAAGCCCTGCATCTGGGAGTCATCGTCAGCCAGGAAAGCAATACCCCTCATACACCTAGAACAAGGTGCGAAGCACAAAATGAAGGCCATCACACAACAAAAATCACATCACGTCAGGGAATGGACTGCCTAGGGAGGGTTTACACCTTGTTAGTGTTTGGCAGAGTTATTACAATGTCTGTCAAGGAAATCATGATTGTACTGAGGTTCTCTATATACAAAACCACAGGAAGATGTTCCTTCTCAATTACTCTTCTAAAAAGAGAGCTAACAAATGTAAATGCTCCTGATTGAGCACTATCCATTTCTTATAATTTCCCTCAGCTTCAACCAGAGTAAATTCAAGGAACAAATCAGCGTATTAGAGACAGCGGTAGCTCACACTAGATCCATTTTTTGTAGTATTTGGAAGTCTTTTTTAAGTTTGTAAAGGTTAAAGACATGGCCTGCCAGCAGTGATGGCTTGTCATCAGCTGAAATCTTCCATGCAAGATTCTTGCTTTTGGTCAATTGACTTTATAACTTTGTAGTTCTACTTTTCATGTAGCAACCAAAGCCACAGAAACCTTTCCAAGACTAGTGACAAGCATATTTGCCTGCACTACAAAACTCCCATAATCTGTTTTTGCGAAGGTCCAGCATCACCACACACTGTACCAATAACGTGATGCAATCCTTTTGTAGCAAGGTGTGCCTGTTTTCGTTTCAAAATCTGCCCTGTGATATCCCAGGTGTTTATAGGGTACCATTTTGGTTTTAATAACTAAATCTACAATAATTCGCCTTTGAGGAAGGGAATTTTATCTTCAGTAAGGTGCCCAAAATTCCCTCTTTTATCAAGGTGGCAGAGAAACTGTAGAGAGGCTGGCAGAGGCTGCTTAAGGAGACAGCAAATAAAGCCAGGACTTGCTGAGCACTGGAGAGGGTTCCTCTTGCTGCCCTGGATCCCAGCGTGCACCAGCCAAGGAAGCAGCACAATTGAAGCAAAACTAGAGGGAAGAGTGTGAAAACGACCCCAATTGATGGCACAGAACAGAGGAATCAGGTTCACCTGAAGCAGAATCTAGGATTCTCACATTTAAACCTTCACCTGTGCTGCACCTTTCTTCTTTTTAGTTCTGCCTCCTAAAGACAAAGAAATAGCTAAGAGTGTTACTCCATGTAGAGGATGACTGTGTGGTACCAAGTCTACGCATAATCGATACCCTTTCAGTATGAGATGACAGTTTACCATTTCCTCTGGTTTGCTCCATCTTTTTTAAAAAGGGAAAACATTCAAGAGATGTTTTTTTATAATACATATTTGCAAGAAAATGAAGTTAACACTTTCCTGACAATATTAGTCTTGGCCTTTTAAACAGACTTAGTAGTCTTTATTCCCTCCTTCAGTCTATTCTGTGTTACAGCCTACATGCGGCTTGTGTTGGCCCCATTGTTTGTGTGCAATGCCTTTAAAGCAGCTGCTGAAGCCCCACTATCAAGCAGCTGCCTTGACCTTTTGCAGCAAAAAGCTCTTGGCTTCTACCTGGAAGACATGAAAACCAGCCATGCAGAGCGCCCTGTGTGACAACCCTGGGGTGATTCTTTTTTTTAAAAAAAAAAAAAAAGTACTGGGAAGCACAGAAGTTTTAAGCAAACAGCAGCAATTCATACTGCACAGGTTAGTACCGTTTCAGGAGCAATTCAGGCAGTTATCAAACCATGGCACTGAGCAGTTCACAAATGGGATGTGTAAGCACTTAGCCTTGTTCAGCCCGTCACTGCATGTTTGCATCAAAACATACCTGTTCAATAACTGCAGACTTCCCAAGCAGTCCCTTGAGCCGGGCAGCAAGTCATAAGAGCTTCTCCGATTGTCACCAGGGAAACTACGGACCTGTTCTGCATGTGGCCAGCCTTCCAGAGAGGACGCTGTTACCAGGCACTATCACAGGAAAAGACATCTCGAGACTAATTTCCCTAGCTAGAAATGGTATTACTGGTGCATATGAAAGGAGAAGCTCCTAACTCTGTAGTGGCTTCTGATGCTACGGTTGCTTCAGCTGGCAAAACTACTGTCAAGTTTTCTAAAGCTTTGAGTTCAAACACATGTTTATATTTGATCTGTGCTGTATGATTTAAAGCTGATTAAATCTAACACCTGAAGAAAAAGTCTAAAAATAGATGAGATGTTGTTCTCTCTTTTGGTAGATATCTGGAGAAAGTAGTAAAATGCAATAAAGTAGAACCAGTTTAAATATTAGTTTAAAAATGTCATCAATTGTGAGATTTTTCTGAAACTCAAGTCACTTTTGAGTTTAATCAAAATGTTTTTGACAATGATAACAATAATGTTAACATTCCCAGTGGTAGAATGGCAAATTAATTTTTAATTAAATGATAAATATTCGACATTGCTGTTAAAAGGAAAGAGAAGAAACCTGCTAGTTTTGAAGTCGATAGGAAATAGTTCTGTGATAACAGAAGATCAAAGATGGCATGGTCTAATTAAAATATAAAATGCTGCATGAATATCAAAGGGATACCTACAGCTCCGACAGACATTGTCAGGTAATAGTACAAGCACCTGAATTCTTCTAGAATCATCTTTTCCTCCACTGGCTCCAAACTCTGTATTTTGTCACAGCCTGCATAGGAAATGAAATGCAAAGCTGGGAACTGAACCTGGTTTTACTGTCAGAGCTCCTCCTAGAGAGTTTAAAAGTTTCACTGACGTTATATCAATCTGTTGGTAAACTGAGCAACTCAAACCTGAACAAAAAGTAGTAGTATTAGAGCTAGCTAAAAATTGGTCTTTAATGTTAAATTCTGTCCTGGTTTTCTGTCTTCTCCCTTTCCATACCTAGAAGCTTCCTCTGGGTACGTGGTTTCGGTATAACAGAAATGTCACATGACAGAAGGCTGAATTCCTGATTAACAGCATCTCCTTCCACTTTAACTGCAACTGCTTAAGCCAAATAATAAAACAAAAAGAAAAATCCGTAATCAAATTGTGCCTCTGTTTCAGATGGATACACTACTGATGACATTGAATTTTACTGGAATGGAGGAGAGTCAGCAGTAACCGGAGTTAATAACATCGAGCTCCCACAGTTTTCTATCGTTGATTACAAGATGGTATCAAAGAGAGTGGAATTTACAACAGGTGAGCACTGACTAGTTAAAAAAGCTCCCCCCTCTTCCCCAACCCAGAAATATCAGTGTTAGACTTTTGTTAGGCATTAGTCATTATACGACTTCTTTCTTTCTTTCAGGAGCGTATCCTCGATTATCACTTAGCTTCCGGCTTAAAAGAAATATTGGATACTTCATTTTGCAAACCTATATGCCTTCCACACTCATCACAATTCTGTCGTGGGTATCTTTTTGGATCAATTATGATGCCTCTGCAGCCAGAGTTGCTCTAGGTAACTTATTTTCAAAATCACTGAACTACACAGACACTTGTTGCCTTTGAACACAGTAGCACCAAATCCATACAGCTGATTTCAACCGCATTAATTGTGATCTTACACATGCAGAGTAAAGTCTTTGTTGTCAGGAAGGCAGGCAGGTGTCACCTTGTCTACATCTGAAGTTCTCGCTCTGCTGTTACATTGGGATTCTGACTGAATTCTGGTTGCCATAATAGTCTTTGGGTCAGGCCGAAAGTGTCTTGCTTCCAAACTGAATCATAAAAGTCTCATTCAGGTATCTAAGGGTATCTACACTGTGCTGCATCAACATTTCGTTGATGTTAAAAAGCATCCTCTCAGGCCAGATGTGTGGCTGAAATGAGTACGTAAGATCCTACTGACATCAGTGGAGATATACCGGCTTACACCAAATAAGCCTGTTTTATCTACACAGTTTGTTATTTCCCATACCGTGTTCCTTCCTACAACTTTCCATAAGAACCAAGATCTTCTGCCACCACCTGCGCTTTAAGGCAGATATGCTTTTCAAATGCTAATGCCAGAAAGCCATTTTGTCCCACCTCTATTTCATCCCACCTCTCTGTAAATTCAACACATTACACCTGTGCCTAGAGCATGCATTAATGACCTGTGATTAAAGCAGACTAAAAAATAATTTCATCCAGCTAAAATAAAACACACACAAAAAAAGAGAATCATGCAGTGATGAATAACACGATATGGAAATGCTTTTCTTGCAAGCACTTCTTTAACAGGAAACGCTATTTTATAAAAGCATATATATCACTTTCTCTCCATCAAAGACCATCACTTTATCATAAAGCTTCCCTTTCTCCTGTCAATCCTCTGGTTTCAGTCAAAAGCTAGATACTTATTCCAGCAATGCAAGGGGTCAGGCAGGGCTACTGCTGTAAATAAAGTGAGAAACGTTTACTCACGTAGAAAGAACAGTGATCAACCCTTTGCTATGCAAGTCAGCTAACACCACGTTACCTAGCAGAGCTGTTGTAAAAATTAAGCCAAGATGTACCAAGATAGCCTGGGCTTTTGAAGGCTACTTTGTTCACCCTCTGTTGCATGGAAAGCCAAGGAAGGTGCTATCAGCAGGCCTGCAAGGGTATCTTCCTTTCCAGTCCTGTAAAACGCATTCCTTTGGCTGTTAAGTATCGAATCATGTAATTAAGGCATCCCTGTGAGAAGTGCATGGTAGCTGGGCAATGCTGCCGTTACACCTTTCATGTTTAAATCTCCTTCCCTGCCTTGTCAATGTCTTTTTCTTCCTTTCACAGGAATCACAACTGTGCTGACCATGACCACCATCAGCACCCACCTCCGGGAGACCTTGCCAAAGATTCCCTACGTCAAGGCAATAGATATTTACCTGATGGGATGCTTTGTGTTTGTGTTCCTGGCCTTGCTGGAATATGCCTTCGTAAACTACATATTCTTTGGGAAAGGACCCCAACGTCAAAAAAAGGCAGCAGGCAGGGCAGGACGTGCTACAGGCGAGAAGAGCAGACTGGAAACAAATAGAGTCCAGGTAAAACGTTCAAGCTAACTTTTCAAACGTTATTTCTGGTGTGACGATGTTGATGTATATGACGATAGATATGAATGCAGTTTGAATACATATGCAAAAGCGTTTAAGATTGTCTAGAGAAAAAATATATTTTAAGGAGATTAAAGCAACATATGGTTTGTTCCGTCTTCAACTGAAAACAGAGTAAGAAACCACAGAAAATGCAAATGAATATTCCGAGCAAGCATTTCTTTGCAGCACAGAAGAAATACGAGGGGTACAAAAAGTTAAATATTTACCATTTCAGCTGTATATTTCTTTGCTATAGCAGGTAGTATAGAAGAAATGTTTGTTATATAGTTCCTGTTTACACACAGAAACTTCATCAAAAATAGAAAGCAAAGGAAGACAGACACTGTTGCTTCAGTGAGTCCTGAACAAAACCCACATCACTGAGCTTCCTGGAAGGAAGCAGCAAGGAGGATGCTGCTGGGTTTTAAAAGCTTTCACAGATGTCAGGATTTTTCCCTCAAGCTAAATTCAAGCAGACCACAGCTACCCCCTCTTAAAAAACAAGCCTGACAAACTCCAGGAAGTAATACTATGGGCTTCTTTTTAACAGGGAAAGGTTTAATTCAGCAGTACATCACTGAATACTTACAAACTTCTATAAACCTATTTAGTTTTTTCCCAGTTTTTCAGAAAAAAAAACACTTCCCTCAGGTGTATTCGAAAGATATATATCCTCATGAGGCAAAATTTTTTTTCTGTTCTCTGCTTTCATTACAATATATTACATCCAAGTATTAATGAGATTTACCCAGGCTGTCCTATAAGCTTCCGTACTGTTGTGGCCTGAGGTGATAACATTTGAACAAAAATATATTTGAGCCCTCTGTTCAGTTTGAAGAATGAGACTGATACATGACACTCTAACAGGTGAGACTTGAGCTTGATGGGTGGTTGCAATTTCACATACATGTCAGGAAATACGTTTTCAGAAATTCTGTGATACTTTATTAGCGCTAGAGTTGTGTGTCATGTGTCCCAGCAGCCACACCACTACAGCTAAACATCACTGACAGTCATCATGTCCTCAGTCTCAGTGAACTCATAAGCCCTTTAAAAGTCCTTACCTGCATTTGCCTCTTGTCTCAATATGTAGGAGATTATTACAGTGGGTACACAAACTCAGTTCAGGCTTGCAGCAGTCTCCAAGGTCCCACAAAGTGTTGTCCTCCACAGAGCTGAGGAGATAAGCCATCCCATTATGGATTGTTGTGCGCAGACACTGTCTATCTATTTCTATGGAAGATAAAGAGGGGGAAAAAAAACAACAAAACCCACAAACTCTGACCAGCCACCTCAACAGCTCCTGAGATAACCCAGCCTTAGGTGAGAAGAAGCACAGCAAGGGTTAATGATGAAGAGGGACACAACACTTCTTCAGAGGTCAGCCTTGGCTACATGGGCCCCAGTGTGCTGAACTGAGTAAAGAATAAGAAAGTGAAAAGGATAAGAGTGCAGGTAAGCTCTTTTTCCTACATATTTGGAGAGTTTGTTTAACTAACGAAAAGCCCTAGCTTGTGACTAAAAGCTTTTGTCTAAATGTTACACTGGCAAAGATTACGCTGAGACCAGTATTCAGAATGGGATAGAAAGTATTTACAACCACACTTGAACTTTTCAGAACACCACATGCGTACACCAGCCTTTTTCTGGGAGAAAACAGAAGACGTACGCACTTTGTATCAGGGTTTGCAAGTGTTCACACTTTAGACTGCAATCCCATTCTGAGACTGAGAATGCTTTAAGTGAATGGGGATTTATGGGGATTAGGGATGGTTGGACTCAATGATCTCTAAGGTCTTTTCCAACCTAGAAATCTATGAATCTATGAATCTATGAACAGACCGCTTTCTGCCTTCCCAGTGCAGGTTTGTGATTTTAGCTATATATGTACACATACACGTATAGACGCATACGTGTGAATGGATATCAACGGCTTTTGTTATCCCACTGAGATACATTGATATGGGACCTTGTGAGCATTCATTTTACTCAGCACGGAAATGCTGATGTCCAACAGTCGCATTTCTGTCTTCGGCAGGAAGAGCGCACATGACCGGACGGACCAGTGGGACACAGTACGGTTATGTGACCTCTAGTGAAGACAGCTCCCAGCTCCTCTCTGTCATGTTTAGACGTTTTTCACTGGTGTTATGATGTCTGTACCAGAGCAGGGGAAATTTTTTTTGGGAGTAAAAAAGAAGTGTATCTGTAAGTATACACAGCTATAGGATATTTTTTTTCCATTTTACTCTTGACCCGTACCACTTAACAATACAGGGACCTATAACTAATAGAAGATACGTAACAGTGCTTCCTCTCTTTGTGCCAGGTGAAGATACTGCTCATTCCCATCTGACATACAACTCCCACAACTAAAAGAGTTCAAATTCCTTCACCAGATAACAAAAGCGTTATGCATGTGAGCAACACTCAGCAAACTGACTGCGATATTAACACACTATAGAGAAGACCAGATGGAAAATGCAACCATACTGCTGTTTCATATGTTGCTGTTCCTTGCTCTACAGACGGAAGAAGGTGGAAATAAAGCCTCTCCGGCTTCACAATTTATGCCATTTTAATTTTTAATATGAAAAAAAATATTAATTTGTAGTAAAGAAGCTTTCTGTTTCTCTGAATAAAGCATAAAGGCTGTTTATATCTTCTTGTCCATTTGTCAAAGCTAGATATCGCTGAGGAAACCATGATAATTATGGATAAATAGGACAAACCATCCAGCAAGAAAATATTTAGGTAGTCCATGTATGCAACTGCTTCTGTTTTCCCAGACAATTATAATGTGAATAATCATTACACAGAAGATGTCTCTTAAGCATGAGAAAGAGGAAGGATGCAATCATAATGTGAATGGGAAAGAGGCTGAGCCATCAAGGAGTTCATAAATGGCAACCCAATGCAGGTGATAGAAGGTATCTTGCTCTACAGTTCTGCAGAGCATCACGCCTTCCTTTCAAACCTTCCGTGAACCACAAAACACCTGGGATGGAAAGCGAGAGACCAGCCACAGGCTCCAAGGAATATATACCGTTTTCCAGTACAGTGGCTACTGGAAGGAGAAAAAGGAGGGAGCATATAACCACACAACCAGCTCTACCTTCACGTAAATCCACACCTGAATAAGTACATCTCTGCTGAGCATAACCTGTTTCGTTGCAGATCAGATTGTGATAACACTACAGCATTTGTTCCAACAAGACAGCTTGTATGAGTAACATGGCCCTGAATCTTTCATCTTAAGAAAAGATGTTTTTGAACTGAGACAAAACAAACGTTCTTACCTTTTATCTCCCAACAGTTAACGTAAAAAAAGTAGGTAGGCAAAACCAATTCCAGACAGCACTAAGCATTTGAGACCCATCCTCTTGTCAAGGAATGCCAACATGCTCTTCCCCTAGAGCAGACTGACTACTTTTTATGCGGTCAACACAGGACTGTTGTTTTGGGTTTTTTTTATTACTTTAACTATTTTACACTTAAAATATCATTTGATCTCCTAAGCAGGAAACTCATTTTCTAAGGAAACATACAAGCCAGATTATTATTTCTTTTTTATAATGTTTCCTGAGTGCACATCATGGCTTTTCCATCACTGATGAAGATTCATATATATGTACCCGTGCTGATTTAGGTAGTTCCAGTGCAAACAGAGAATTAAAAATCTATAAACTCAATTTAGATACACGCTCAATATAGATACAGATGTTATTACAAGAAGCATCATCACATACATGCATCTGAAGAATATTTAAACTTTGACAATTATACCAGATGACTAGCAAAACCTTAGTTTAAGATGCTTTGAGATCCTCCTTACATATTCTTCGTTATATGCTCAAAAGACAAAAAAAAATTTCTTCAGTTCTCTACAAATTTAGGCAAAATTTATGCGTTGTACAAACAAGGTAAAGCATATATGTTCAGTCAAGCACACATTCAGGCTCAGAACACCTGTTAAGCAAGAAATCCTGTTTTCATCTAAGCATGGTCAGTTTATGTAATAAAATTTAGGGCATTCCAGTTAAAGAACAAGATGGTATTTGGAAGACTAAATGTGTTACATGCAAGTAAGGAAGAACTATTCTAGGCTTAATATGGCTCATCTTTCCTACCTAAGGAGGGAACTGAAGTACTCTACTCCTAGTGGGCCAGAAAACTGAGTAGATAGAGCGTTGTCTCTTCCATCCCTATTTTTTTGTCCTGTCATCTGATGCAAACGTGTCAAAGACTGTGTACAACTGCAGTATATACTAGAGTCTCATCACTGAGACATGGGGTGGAATGAGTTAAAGCCTGTTGGCTGTTTCTGATGCACAGGCTTCCTCCAACACAGGACCAACAGCAAGCCCCAGGTAACCTCGTATTAAATAAGGGAGAAAAGATTTTAAGACAGAAAATTTGCAGCTTTTACTGTCCGAATATTTGCTGTCAATTCATTCCAATATTAACATAGACAAAACTAATAACAAGCCTCTTTTGGAGACCCCTAAGCAATTTGTATGTTTTCCGGGTTCCTACAGGAATTTGTAGAATTCCTATGCTTCAGTAACTAAACCTCAGCAGCACAAGTTTTAAGAATATTTTGGAGTGAACTTCAATAAATTCTGAAAGGGCTTTTAACGATGTGGGAAATTCACTATTAGTCCAGCTTCGTGTCACACAAGCAGAGAATTTGACCCGGGTACATAAGAAGAGCTTTTATACTTCTCTGAGCCGATTTATTCAAGATCAGTGTAAGGCCCTTTGCTCTGAATTGCAAAGGCTACAATTCAGACACTGAATTGCTTCATGATGTATACAAATAATCCTGCCTAAAATGATTTAAATAAAACTCATTTGAAAATATAACAGGTTCATTCATAACACTTAAAGTGCAAATTCATATGCTGCTTGGCTTATAATAAACTGTCAGGGCATATTAGTTTAAGAAACATCCCTATGAATCACTTTGGATTGTAGGCAGTTACGAGTTGTCTCCACAAAAAAAAGAAGCCATAATAACTGCTTAATGATGCTTGGCACTACTGTTACTGCTATTATAACACTAAAGTAAATTAGCTTAAACCTTAGATTATGTAATCAAAGACAGCTCAAAGAGCTATTTCATAAAACTGGGAAGAAAACGTTGACCTATCAAAACTGAGAATTTAAAAGAATTCTCTTTTTACACAGAGACAACTCTGAGATCATTGCTTTTTCCACAGAAAATGTCAGAACTTAGCAGAAATGAATAGTCCCATAGTCACGGCAGTCCTCTGGAGCGTAGGAAACCCTATATCAGATCTTCCTTCAGCTTAAATTTGAAGAGTAGACCTAAAAAGTATAAACTGCATAGCCCATATCTCAAGTAAAGATTGCAACCTCCATGCTGGTTTGTGACCAGTTGGCCTCTTTAACCCAGAATATGTGAGCTTTTCCTACCAAAACAGTGGTGAGAACTGGGATGTTCCCACTGAATGCTCATTTCAGCACGTACAGAATCAGTTGCTAGACCTGACTAGAGCATTTTCTGTCTGTGGTGACTTACTGCTCCATTTAGAAGATTTCTTTCCCCACAGCTATCCTGGGTGGCTTTTGTACAAATAGCCCCTTCACTACTTTGTTTTCAGTTTGTAAGTGCTCAGTCTGGCACAGTGTAAATACGTCAGCAGTCATCATGCAATGTTTTCGCCTTCCGGCGATGGGAAGGAACATCTTCCATGCTGTCAGGCGGAACCAAGGCTTTCTCTGGCTTCCAGCTTTCCCCTGTGTCAACTCCCAGAGACTGAATTTCCCCATGTGCTCTGCTTGGAGTGTTTTCTTCAACATACTTCAAACCTGCTGTAGACTATTACACCATTTCCTAGCTCTGCAATGTCTTGCTGAAGACGTAAAGCTCAGCGTGTCAACAAAGCATTGCATATCACCGGTGCTTCACAAGACTAGATATTGTCAATAGGTAATTTTTTTTTTCCCCTTGGTATAAAGGCATCCCCGAGCAGCCATGGTACAGACTGTAATATATTTAATAAGTTACTTAAAAAAAAAAAAAAAAAACCAAACAATTTTAATACTCAAGCCTCAAGGCAAAGTCTTGAAGTTTCATTTAAGAGCTCTGTGTCCTGATGTGTATTTCCCTTGTGCGGATTACAGTGGATGTTTAATTCTGGGAATTTGAAATACCCAGGAAGTCTTTATGGAGAAGTCAGGAGTCATCCTGGAAACACCAAAGAACTTTTCCTAAAAAATATTTTGCTACAAACACATAGAAAACTAAAGATGAGTGAAAAGCTAAACATTTTGTAGTAATGCAGTCATTCATAGTTAATTCATTGATATATAAAAAATGCAATGACATTAAAATATTTTATATAAATATTTTTTTATATTTTGTGCCAGACGCATACATACCAGTTGTAGTTTCCAGTTCTTTGCTCAGGTACTTAAAACAGTGCCCTGACTAACTAACAACACAGATAAACTAAGTGATAAACATATTTGAAACAATAGCTTCTGGTACCAACATACAAAAATGCAACTGAATGTAAGGTTTCTTTGAGTACAATGCTTCTATCTGCACATGAACAAGTCAATGGTATGCTGTGGGAAGCAGGGATTTCCATCTCTGCAATATAGTAATTCTCCAGAATGAATTCTGATCACAAGCATATTACAGTAACTGATAAAATGCACATATACTTATATGTTCACATAACGAACCCATTGTTACAAAACTGTTCTTGAAACTAACCTACACCACTAAAACTGTATAAAATTGACAGAGAAAACAACGGGTTTTTTCACCGTGAGTACATGAAAGCTTAGGATGTCAGGTCACCAGACATTAAAAGTCAGTATTTCATAAAGACTGTGATCTAAGTTAAAGATAAAATTAGAAAACTCTTACTTTACAGGGGATGAGATAGCTAACTGAATGAAAAAGTCTCAGACCAAAGAGCTGGATCAGAATGGAAGATATTTAGATGCCTAACAGATACTTTCACACCAGTCAGGAAAATGTATTTTCACTTCCATCAATGCTATACAAGACACAACTATCACTGCAGCCCCAGGAGCACTGTGGCAGTATAGCCAGAAGGTACCCGTCCATCTGGGAGACACCTTTGGCTGGCTGAGGAACTTGTCTAATTCACATTCCTTCCTTGACACAGGTTGATCCCCATGGGAATATGCTTCTCAGACCACTTGAAATACGAAACGATGTCAGCAGCTCAGATGTGTTCACGAGCCTCCGTGACCCCCGAGCCACCACGTACACGTACGACAGTGCCAACCTGCAGTACAGGAGAGCCACTTCCAGCAGAGACCTCTACAGTAGGAGTGCTTTGGACAGGCACAGGCTTCATAAAAAAGGACGCTTACGAAGAAGAGCATCCCAGATCAAAGTCAAAATCCCTGACTTGACTGATGTTAACTCGATAGACAAGTGGTCCAGAATGGTCTTTCCTATCACATTTATTCTTTTCAATGTTGTTTACTGGCTGTATTATGTCCACTAATTTATGCAATAACGTTACCACAGACTAACATAATTAGACTTGTTTCTTTTCCTTCTTAATTTTGTTAACTCTGAAGAACTGCTGTAGTCATAATGTTATATGTTCAAGGTAAGATACCCAGCCATTCTATACTTCCAGATTTAAGCTTTCAAAAAAAGAAAAAAAGCAAACAAAAACCCAACCCAAATCGAGCCCCACTGCACTCAGATCAGAATAGTACAGATCTGCTCTTAAAAAGCATCTTCAGCAAAAGTGCTATACCTTGATTTTACAAAGAGTTTGTGCATATCCATGACCTTTCTGTACCCACTTTTATCTTTTTTTTTAAGTGGAATAAAAATTAGTCCTACGGTATTCCCACAGCAGCATGCTTCCAAACGAGACAGTAAAACAACTCAAAGTAGCAGTCGTGTCACAGTATTTCAGCATTTAGAGTGTGAAGAAATAACTGTCTGAAGGATTGTAACTATTACATCACCCATCATTTCAAAGTTAATTGTTATACTAGGAAGTATTTCCATAGTGTCTGTGAGAAGTATCACTCAAGGAGATATAAGTCAATTGACATTTTCAGAGAGGCAGGGATCTTCAAAAGAAAGAAATGGCAGCAGAGACAAATCCCACTGAGTTTCCAACTTCCAGGAATCAGCTGATTGGATCTAACTGGAATTTTGTTATTTCCGCAAAGTAGCAAAGTTGAAATTGATAAGAACAATTGTGCCATCTGTGATTTTGTATTAAAAAAGCAGAAAACAAACACATGTTCCTTCCTGGAAGCAACTACTGAGAGATATCCCAGCCCAACAGTGGCTGCTTTTTCTGACTCCCAAGTTTCCTGTGGCTGGTTATTACTACACATTCTCCCAAAAGCTGGCAGATGTCTGGGAATAAATCTGAGGAGAGCTCTGCACACAGTTTCCTACAGATTTCCTCACTCTGATGAGGAACAGGAGATACAGTTGAGCCTCCTTGGCAGGCTGGTGATGTTGGGTACACCGCTCCTGAGGAGTTGCCTCTCCCCACCCAGCTGCTGATCGCCTGACACAACCACAGCCGGGGAGCTGCAGGTGAAGTGCTAGCAAGCTGCGCGCAACTGAGGAGCAATAGGTCAGTCACCTACTATCTGTATCAAACCTATTTCCTGTCTCTATTGCCATTTTTTTCCTAACTATGTTTATACTATGTTGCCTAAAAAAGCATTTCTTGAAACAGAACTATTATCAGTTAAATTTTATTTTGTATTGAAAATGTTTCATAATTTTAGACAAGTCAAGATACACAAGCCAAAATAGTCTGTGTAGGTACTGAGATGATTGTTATCTATGCCAGCTGGTACAGAAAGAGACGTTGATCAGGACAGTAGGCAGCAATACCCGCAGTGCAGAGTGAGTAGGAAATACAAATGAATAATGTAGAGAGCTTCTTCACTAGTTCCTTGTTGCCTGGCAGACAGGTCAACTGATGACTTTATCACCAGTCAACCTTACAGCTTTTTAATCAGAATGTAATAATAAATGAAACACTCCTACATGTTAACGTCTGTCACATCATGCAAGACCTTGACCTCCTAACGGAACAGGACCCTTGTTTGCTTCTGCAGAAGCAATCTGGAATGATAAATCACCAAAGAAGAAAGGGGATAGCTTTAATGTACTCATTACAAAAAACAAAATGCTGAAAAATAGGCATTCGACACTGCTAATCTAGGAGAGTCCTTGAGACTATAATTTTTCCAATGGGCTCCAAAGTCCCAGTCTGATCTCAAGTTCGATGGAGCACAAAGGTGGTCTTCTCAGCTGTCTCTTCTCTGCTACAACTTTTAACCTCCAGTCTGTTGAAGAGTTGCACAATTTTACCAGATTAATCAGCCACTAGGTACAATTCGACTTGATTCAGGAAAAATATTAATTCAGTCAAATGGCTCTTCTGAATAGGATACAACTTGTCTGCCTATTCCCACCCTCCATATAATTTTTCAACATTTGCACCATTATCAGCAACCGAATTAAAGACAGCCACACATCATCCCACACAGGACATTTTGATTAATTTCTTAGTCAAATGTAAACAACGTTTAGACCAAGAATAGTTTAGCAGCAACTAACAATAGTATTTTGGTATCATAAAATAAACAATTCACAGAACATATGGAAGTCTTGCAAGCAAACTGGACTTTCCATAACCACAAAAAATAGTCACAAGAGAAAGACAGCAGTAGGGCCATATGTGCTGTCTGTTCCAAACACATACATCATACTTGAGAGGGGATGGTGGGGAGGTGGGGGAAGGGCTCTTTACGTTAGTGATGGGTGATAGAACAAGAGGAAATGGGTATAAGCTTAGTCAGGGGAGATTCAGGTTGGATGTTAGAAAGCATTTCTTCTCTGAAGGGTTGTCAGCTGCCCAGGGAGGTGGTTGAGTCCCCATCCCTGGATGTGTTTAAGAATAGGGTGGATGATCTACTTAGGGATATGGTTTAATGGGGATTAGGGACGGTTGGACTCGATGATCTCTAAGGTCTTTTCCAACCTAGAAATCTATGAAATCTATGAAATCTATGAAATCTATGAAATCATTAAACGGTTTTGATTTCAATGAACTGGCATCGGACTTTACAAACAGAATAAGTCCATGAGTCAGCGAGCTTGCCAGCTTTGTGGTTATACATAGAAATAAATTCAAAGAAAGTAATACATTCTGCAGATTTGTAGTGTACAATACTCTATGAAAAGTAACTTTCAGTGACCCATGTTTTTGCATTACCTGATTTCCCAAAGATACTCACAGACAGCCCACAGGTCAGCAATTTAACCCAATCTTTCCAGTGGCGTGGAGATATTGCAACCCTCCTTACAGCTACAGTGGACATTTAGGAAGAGCCAACATCCAATGTGATATTGAAACAAGAATTTAGGTTTCAATGTGATATTGAAACAAGAATTTAGGAAAAGGATACCTTGCCTTCTATTATAAGAGCAAAGATCAGCTGTACCGCTTTTCAGCATTTTTTCTTGTAGACTCCTAATATCTGCATACACAGAGTTTGTAGCCTATGGATCATCCAGCTAGTTTATGCACAGATGTTAGGCACAAAGGCTAAAAGCAGTTATACTGTACAGTTCCAAGCCAAAAAAAAAAAAAAAAAGGTATGGAGCAGAGGAAGGGCCATTAATAAACCAAGAGCAGTGCAAACACAAAACTCCTTCAGAACGACATGTTCCGAAATAGCAAGGTCCGCTCTCATGCATCAGGAGCCCTTCCACATGTGTCACCGACACAAACCCCAGCCCTCCTGCCAGTTTTGGTCGGCACGCAGCAAGGCCTGGCCGTGTCGAGAGCCGGAAGCCACGATCTTCAGTGAAGGAACAGCTGCCAGCTCTCGGCGTAAAGTTTTGCAGCAGAGACTAACGACTGCACCATGTGCAGGGAGCCACTGACTGCAGGCTGGCAGTATCTCTAGCCCAGAGCCAGCCATCTCCTGCCTCCCACTGAGCTCCTATCCACACATTTAACCACTAACTGGTAAAGAAAAGCAGAATTTGGCATATGAGCCCGCAAGGCACATTGGATTTAACCTAAAACCTCTTTCAAAGTCTCAAAAGAGAATTAAAACCAAAACTTGGGAACAGGGTGTATAACCATAACTAGCACGTTTTTCCATTCTCCACTACTTTTAGAAAAAAATAAAAGCAGAACATTTCTCACTTGGAAGAAATAGCTTGGCAGCAAGGAAAAGGCAGTGATTATTAGAGGCACGAGATGGAAAAATGTGGCTATATATGGCTTACCCATGTACATTGTCATCTGGAGCTAGGAATTAGTGAGTACAAAAGAAAAACAACCTCTTCCCATCAGTAGGTTGGAGTCACTTGGCTGGCTTTAAGTGATAAAGGTGAATAACACTGTAGTGTTAAGCTCCCTCACTGTTGTATTTTAGTAGTTAGTTTGCCTGCCCGTAGGAACCAGACTTCAAGCTCAGTTTAGATAAGGTCCTATTGCTAATGTTTCAAGTAAAGCCCTTTTCAATTTGTGCTGCTGTTTCATGCCTATTGTGAGTTTGATTATTTAAAGGAACTTGCGCTGGAAGTCCTTTTTAGCTAGGTTTCCCAAAGATATGAGCTTCCACTGTCATTCTCTGTGTGTGTGTGTGTTTGCCTATGTGGGAGTGTCCCAATAATATTTGATTCCAT